GTTTAAGTAAGTTTATTTCAATAATAATATACATCCCAAAAGGATAGAGTAGCTTCGGTGATTTCAACCCTCTTCTATCTCAGGTCCCTCAAGGAACCGGCAATGACCGAAGAATGCAAGACAGCATGTTTCACAATAATTTTATTTTACGGCAATAATTTTCTCTTCATGTCCATACTTGTATCAACTTTTCATAAACACATTATTATTTTTTATTATCATATTAATATTAGTATTAGTATTATTGTTATTATTAATTGTTATTATTAATTCTTCTTCTTATTATTATTATTGTTTTAGTTTCATCTAAGCTTGAGAAATAAAACTATGTTGCCGACTTGTTCAAAATATGTTGGCGACGCTGCCTTGGGCGGTGATATCTGGAATTTACGTCCGTGTTGTTCTTTCTTGACGGAGCAGAAGACTATCTTTATGTGGACATTTGTTGTTACTTGTGGTGTGTGTGTGTGTGTGTGTGTGTGTGTGTGTGTGTGTGTGTGTGTGTGTGTGTGTGTGTGTGTGTGTGTGTGTGTGTGTGTGTGGGTGGGTGAGTGAGTGTGTGTGTGTGTGTGTATGTGTGTGTGTGGGTGGGTGAGTGTGTGGGTGGGTGAGTGTGGGTGTGTGTGTGGGTGGTGTGGGTGGGTGGATGGGTGTGTGTGTGTGTGTGTGTGTGTGTGTGTGTGTGTGTGTGTGTGTGTGTGTGTGTGTGTGTGTGTGTGTGTGTGTGTGTGTGTGTTTGCACTTGCTTAGAAATTCTCTGATTCATGTGTTTTTGTTATGGAAGAGCTTCAGCTCATAATCCCCGGCTGTCGAATCATTATTAGTTACGTGTAATAATTCTTTTTCTCTCGTTTTTCCTGTTCCTATTTTCATATTCAAGTTGAGCAATGCACTACCCAGCATCGTCTTAGGGGAAACATCGGGCCTGTTAACCTTTACATGCTTGTTATCGTACAGCAGTGACATGTGGGTCTTGGCTAGCCAATCATTAATGTAAGTTGCGCTTCAACATCAATGAATTTTGGGCACATTGATGTGTGAAGATTCAGCAGAAGAAGCTGAATGAATAAGCCAAGGAGCTGTTTTCTTAGTATTTGAAACTCTTGCATGAAGAATGAAATGAGCTTCGTGAATATAGGCTGTGATATTCTCAATGTGTTAAGTGATTAGAGGCCTTAAAGAACTGTTGGGTTGTATGGGAGCAAACGAGTCAGAAGGAGAGGAAATAACTCCATACATAACTTCAAGGGGGGGGGGAAGTGTGACAAGAGGAAAACATAGTGTATTGCTACAATATATATGTGCTCATCCTGATAGGCACATATAGGTGTGTACAAATAGGTGGGTAGACACACAAACACAAACAAACAAACGTACACAACACACAACACACAACACACACACACACACACACACACACACACACACACACACACACACACACACACACACACACACACACAACACACACAACACTTACAAACACACACACACACACACACACACACACACACACACACACACACACACACACACACACACACACACACACACACACACAACACTTACAAACACACACACACACACACACACAACACACACACACACACACACACACACACACACACACACACACACACACACACACACACACACACACACACACACACACACACATTAACGGAACACAACTCAAGCCAAAGACGAGCTGAACCAAACACAAAGTGTGGGAGAAGTAATGATAAAAGAAAGCACAATTAAGGTAAGAGGCAGCGAGGGAAGAGAACTGACAGACCCACCACCACCACCACTATAACTTCCCACCGCCTCTAAGAGCTAAGTTAAGGCAGAAGGGACGAGTGTTTCCTTCCAACAACTGTTTCAGCGACGGAAAAACAACAAGACGAGAGAAGGAGTGATACACGAGGAAGATGCTGAGAACCCTGGTCGAGGAGAGGGAGGTGCAGATGCTACAGTAAATACAAGAATACACTGAAGATGTAGAAATCAAAAAGGGCGATTGAGGCAACAGCGTTGAGAGACCTTACTTTGCTCCTCATCTCTCTGGTGCCTATTTATTGCCTGTCTCTACTTCCTCATCACAATCGACTTGAGAATGGTCCAGGACGGACCGAAACGTCGTCGTCCTTTCACATTCTAGTGTGTGGTCTGGTCAACATCAGCGTTGAGAGAATTATGAGACAACTGGTCCTTTGAAATCTACCAGAAAGAAAGGTAGGTACTGAAAATGAGTAATAAGAGATGGGGTAGACAACTGACATCAGTAACTCGTGCAAAACAATAACATGTACGATAGAGATTGATACAGAATGAAGGAAGCAGGGAGGACAAAATAACAGACGTAGGATCCCATGGTTGCTTCAAGTGGGGGTTGGACATGTATATATGGAGGAGTTTGGGTGAATGTAAGTGGGAGCTGCCACGTATGGACCAATAGGCCTTCTGCAGTTTCTATGATTCTTATGTTCTTAAGAAAAGTAATGGAGAAGGAAAAGACAAAACTGAAAAATGGATAAAGACAGAAAAAGACGAGAAAACAAGTAGGACCAAACATACAAGCAACGCCTCTACAAGCAGCCTGTGTAACAGACAACAGCTGTTAGCAACATCCAGCAACAGACGAGAGGTTATCAGAGAGAGAGGCCACCGTCAGCAGAAATTGTAAAAGTAATCCATTTATGGAATAGGGTTTGTCAAGCACAAACACCACACTCTAAAAATCCACGGGATGCAAAAGACAACAGTTTTCATAAGTGGGAAGATAGGATAAACCCAGAGAAAGAGACATGAGAAATTCGTTCCACAAACACACACACATACACACAGGGGTCTGGTAGCTGAGTGGACAGCGCGTGGGACTCGTAGTCCTGTGCCCGGGTTCGATTCCCGGCGATGGCAGAGACAAATGGGCAGAGTTTCATTCACTCCTGATGCCCCTGTTACCTAGCAGTAAATAGGTACCTGGGAGTTAGACAGCTGTTACGGGCTGCTTCCTGTGTGTGTGGGGGGGGGGGAACAAATTAGTCAGTAATTTGTAACGTCAAATGATTGATAGATTGACAGTTGAGAGGCGGGCCGAAAGAGCAGAGCTTAACCCCTGCAAGCACAACTAGGTGAATACACACACACACACACACACACACACACACACACACACACACACACACACACACACACACACACACACACACACACACACACACACACACGCAGCAGGTCATATTGTAGAGGCATACGGGCCAACGCTCAACCTTGATGTGTACACACAGCTCAAATACATACCATTGAAGGCTGAAAGGCAGGACTCAAGTGCTGAAAGCTTCAAAATATTGGCTAAAGCATTTCAATCAAGCAAGCGTGTCCTATATTTACGAACACACAACACTCCCCATGACTCACAACTGGTTACTTTCGAACTTTTGGACGGAAATGTTTGTCATTACTAATGTGCACCTCTCTCGATGCTTCGCCTCCAGTCTGTCCTCGTAAGATTGGCCACTTTTTTTTTTACATGCAAAAGCATGCTACATAAATACAATAAAAACAGAAGACAAATAAACAGACCAAGAACAAAAGTACAAAGTAACACAACAAGAAGCCCCAAACTGAACCCAACCCAGACACATAAATAAGACATAAAGACATAAGTACATACCAACAAATACATACAGAAAGACAATACACAAGAGAGTCCGAAACGGACACCAAATCGCCCACACTATACAGTCCATACATATTTACAATAAAACAATAGGGCCCACAAACATATACATGAAATGAGAATGCCTACACATACTTGTCTGGAAAATCAGCCCGAGGATACCTAATACAATACGCCTCCCATGCCACATAGTCATCCCTTAGGGTGCTGCATAAAGTCCGAAATATCACAAATGAAACTTTGCACACTTTGCACCCACACAGGCGGCGGGTTCACGGGGCCCAGCGGCACTGAGGAACGCGTAAGAGGCTGCAGTACAGTACATTCCCCGGGAATGGGAATGTCCGCCCCTGAAACTGGTGCAGAAACACTCGGTAACCCTCTTCAGTAGGCAACTTCACCACCACCCGATGGGTAGTTAATAGCTCCATCCCCCTCAAACGGCAGCCACATCCAGAACCCAGCACATCACACAGTATCAGCTCCACAGTAGGGTAGTCCAACTTTGCGGAAAACTCCAGTCCAACAGACTGAGCCCTCAACATGGGGGTAATGGGGCCCAACCATCACACAGCTCACGCCGGGCACAAGGCAGCAGCCAACTACCACGTCAACAACTAGCCGCTAGTTTGGCACACCAGCAACACAGCAAGCAGAAGTGACCAGACACATCTGCTCACTGTGGCTGCCACCACCCGACTCCCACATTGTCCACGTGGCAGGACTCCTTGGCAGCTGGTCTTGATCCAGCTGCCAAATCCCTTGTTTATGAATGTAAAACCACTTAACCAACGATCTCATCGGAGAACAAAAACAAGATGTTTAACCGTTCGTATTTATTTCAAGACATTCTGGAGTGTATAGATTGTGAAGGAGTTCGGAAGCAAGACATTAAGTACAGTTTTAGCAACATGACGTCAGATGGTAACATGAATTGAGGGTGTAATATAATCCGAAAAGTAACCTGCCTTATTATGTCATTTACATAGGTTTATAACTGTTTTAAATGTTTCTTTGAATCATTAAGATTTTCCAGCATCGATTTGACATTGATAATCCTTCCTATTTCCAGTACACCTGAAACCTCAGTCTTTGAAAATCTTGAGAGATTCTAGTAATGACTTCCACATTACTCGTCAGACATAATAAATAAGTTTGAAAAGATCGAAAAATATGATTGAGGGGGACATACATGGAAACTGAGCACTTAAAAACTCTACAAGATTACTAGAAAAACTTCTTTAGTGCCAAAGTTGTAATCTACGAAATAAAGTGGTGGAGGAAATCTCTATATCCAGTGAGTGAGGGAACGTTTACATCAGTCGAACTGAGTTTTGGGTGGCTCCAAAAGCTGAAGTTCAACCTCCACAAGCGCAGCTAGATTAATATAGAGATTAAATTGTTTACACACCAGAAAGTCAGAGTAGCTTCCACAAAGAAATTAGATTAACGTGATATATATCTATGAGAAAATCCACCTCAAATCTCCAGCTGCTTTTCTCATCAGAAGATGAGAAAAGATGATTTTCTCATTAAATTTTCTTTTCTTCCCCAGGATATATATATATTTTTGGGGGTCTCGCTGGTTGGTAAATATTTCCACAGTTGGCCACGCCGGTAAACAATGGTGGTGGTTTTACCGCTTTGGTCGCCAGGGGGAGTGGGCGTCTCTGCCCTCCCTGCTGTTGCTGCCTGGCTACATGTTGACGTGGCGAGCTTGCGATGGGAGGCCATCTTTCCCCTCAAGTTCAAGTTCAAGTATGTTTATTGAGATAAGAAAGAAATACATCTCAAAGGGATAGAGTAGCTTAGGCTATTTCTACCCCCCATCTTCCCCCTGTTGTGAGGGTGAACTCCGTGGGCCTGGAGTTCACTGGCCGTGCTGGATACCCGGAAGTTGAGATGGTTATGTGTGACATGCTCCGTGTCCCAGTGATGGCCATCTATGGTGTTGAGCTTGTAACTGCTCACCGGGTTATTGTCAAGTTCGTGGGGGAGGAGGAATACCTGACTTCCTCCGACGATACGAGGGGCGTTCGTTGCCGATGCCGGGTGGTGCCGGCTCTGTTTTCATTACGGACCGTAGTGGTGCCCTGACGTATATCAGTGTGCCTGGGGCGCCCCTGGAGTTTCCTGAAGACCTACTCCGACTTTACTTCCAGAGGTTTGGAGCTGTCATCAGTGTGCGGGTGAACTCGCTCTCCTCAGGGAGGTATGCGAGTATGCGGACAAACATTCGTACCCTGGGGATGTGCCTGCGGTTGGATATACCATCTTCTGTCCGGCTTATGGGGTACTACGTCCAGGTGGACTATGCCCAGCAACCCTGAACATGTTTCCGGTGTGGCTTGTTGGGGCATCAGGGTGCCGCATGCACTGGGGGCTCCGGTTGCCCCCCGTCAACTTGTTCCGGGAGGATTTCCCGCCGCTCCCTCTGGAGGAGGACTCTGGGGGTGAGCGTCCCGTCCCGCTTCTCTGTTTGATTTGTTTAATCTGTTACTATGTTTTGTTTTCTTGTCATTATTTGCTTGCGTGTTTACATTGTATTATGTTTTGTGTTATGTTCTTGACTTGATGTATGTTGTGTTTCTCTTGCGTTTTCTCCAGTTATATTTAATGTTGTATTTTGCTGTCGGTCCTTCTAGCCGGTAGTTTTCTGTTTGCTTTGTTGATGTGTTCCTATGCTTGTTTTTTTTTTTTGTATTTAATTTCATGCATGCATGTAAAACTAAAAATACAAAAAAAGATGTCCTGGTGGTGTAGCCGCCTCGGTCTCCACCACACTACACAGCTGAACCAAACACAATGAGAATGAATATCCATGCTGTAACTAAGAGCTAATGAGACACGTTCACTAATGAGAAAATGAGACGCAATTCCAAGACCTATTTGGTCAAGTTTGATGTTTCTTAATTTGTTCCTTACTGAGACATTTTCTTTTAAGCTTTCTTTGCAGACTGACACTTAGTCAATTTATATTTGTTTTCCTTATTGGTTTAGGTTTTACGAAAACAACTGATATATATATATATATATATATATATATATATATATATATATATATATATATATGCAAACAAGCCTGAATGGTCCCCAGGACTATATGACTGAGTTTTCAGTCATATATATATATATATATATATATATATATATATATATATATATATATATATATATATATATATATATATATATATATATATATATATATATATATATATATTATATGCTAATATAAATACTGTTATATACTATATATACTGCTATATACTACTATATACTGTTATATATTACTATATACTGTTATATACTACTATATACTGTTATATGCTACTATATACTGTTATATGCTACTATATACTGTTATATGCTACTATATACTGTTATATACTACTATATATATATACTGTTATACATTACTATATACTATGCTTATTTGTGGTTGTTGTTTGTGTTGTTGCTGTTGTTGTAGCCAGCTTTGTTATTGTTGTTGTTGTTGCTGTCATCTCTGTTGTTGTCGTTAGCTTTATTACTGTTGTTGTCGTTAGCTTTATTACTGTTGCTGTCGTTAGCTTTATTACTGTTGTTGTCGTTAGCTTTATTACTGTTGTTGTCGTTAGCTTTATTACTGTTGCTGTCGTTAGCTTTATTACTGTTGTTGTCGTTAGCTTTATTACTGTTGTTGTCGTTAGCTTTATTACTGTTGTTGTCGTTAGCTTTATTACTGTTGTTGTCGTTAGCTTTATTACTGTTGTTGTCGTTAGCTTTATTACTGTTGTTGTCGTTAGCTTTATTACTGTTGTTGTCGTTAGCTTTATTACTGTTGTTGTCGTTAGCTTTATTACTGTTGTTGTCGTTAGCTTTATTACTGTTGTTGTCGTTAGCTTTATTACTGTTGCTGTCGTTAGCTTTATTACTGTTGTTGTCGTTAGCTTTATTACTGTTGTTGTCGTTAGCTTTATTACTGTTGTTGTCGTTAGCTTTATTACTGTTGTTGTCGTTAGCTTTATTATTGTTGTTGTCGTTAGCTTTATTACTGTTGTTCTCGTTAGCTTTATTACTGTTGTTGTCGTTAGCTTTATTACTGTTGTTGTCGTTAGCTTTATTACTGTTGCTGTCGTTAGCTTTATTACTGTTGCTGTCGTTAGCTTTATTACTGTTGCTGTCGTTAGCTTTATTACTGTTGCTTTCGTTAGCTTTATTACTGTTGTTGTCGTTAGCTTTATTACTGTTGCTGTCGTTAGCTTTATTACTGTTGTTGTCGTTAGCTTTATTACTGTTGTTGTCGTTAGCTTTATTACTGTTGCTGTCGTTAGCTTTATTACTGTTGTTGTCGTTAGCTTTATTACTGTTGTTGTCGTTAGCTTTATTACTGTTGTTGTCGTTAGCTTTATTACTGTTGCTGTCGTTAGCTTTATTACTGTTGCTGTTGTTAGCTTTATTACTGTTGCTGTCGTTAGCTTTATTACTGTTGCTGTCGTTAGCTTTATTACTGTTGCTGTCGTTAGCTTTATTACTGTTGTTTTTTACAATCATATCTGATGTTGTGAGGACTGATGTTGTTGTTGTTGTTGGCGTCATCTCCGTTGTTGTTGTTGTTCGTGTCGTAAACTATGTTGTTGTTGTTGCTTTTATTATTGTTGTTGGTGTCATATCTGTTGTTGTTTTCTCTGATGTCGTTGCTGATGTCGTCGTCTAGGGTTAAGACTTAAACTGGGGCTGCGGTCGTCTCGACTGGTGCTGGTGTTGTCCCCTCTGACGTTGGTGGTGGCGTTGTTGGTAGTCGCGTTGTTGGTGGTGGCGTTGTTGGTGGGGGCGTTGTTGTAGGGGGTCCTGGGGGGGGAGGTAAATGTGAGTGTTTAGAGAATATACAAAAAATTTTAGGTGGGTCACAGAGAGTCTGTCAAAATATTCTAGTCGTGTTAAAAGAATATTGGAGAAACTAAGAAAACTATTTTAATTTACAATAAATCTTGTGAGGTAGAAGTTTAGAAACTTCAATGAAACCTCAATTACTCTGAGGTTTCAGGGTAATTGTAAAGTTTTTAAAGCCTAGACCAATTAAGTGAAGCTCTATTTTTATTCAATACGTAACAAAAACATGCATTCAGCTAGACCTTGAACATTTTTAATCACAAAAGTTCATTAGTGCATTGATCTAATTAGGTTGAGTTTCTGTGTGATATGATATCTTAAACAAAACTTTGATCACTTTAACACATTCATTTTGTTTTTATAAAAATAAAAATCGTTCTGAATGACTTTACCCAAGGACCTTCTCAGTAAAAGATAATTAAACCATAACAGTTTGATGACATTGAAACTAGGATGGTCTTTATGGCAGAAATGAATACCACTGAGTCAGGAGGCCAGGTTTTACAACTGGTCTCTGAGGAGGAGTATATACCCGGCTCATGAGTATGCTGGACCACATATTTTACATGGGGGAGTGAGGGCAAGGCCCGGTGTTGTGCTAGGCCACGGCAAACCAGGGCACGCCACACCAAGGCACACCACACCAGGGCACGCCACACCAGGGCACACCACACCAGGGCACGCCACACCAGGGCACACCACACCAGGGCACGCCACACCAGGGCACACCACACCAGGGCACGCCACCACCAGGGCACACCACCCCAGGGCACGCCACACCAGGGCACACCACACCAAGCCACACCACACCAGGCCACACCACACCAAGGCACGCCACACCAGGGCACGCCACACCAGGGCACGCCACACCAGGGCACACCACACCAAGCCACACCACACCAGGGCACACCACACCAGGGGACACCACACCAGGGCACACCACACCAGGGCACGCCACACCAGGGCACACCACACCAAGCCACACCACACCAGGGCACACCACACCAGGGGACACCACACCAGGGCACACCACACCAAGCCACACCACACCAGGGCACACCACACCAGGGCACGCCACACCAGGGCACACCACACCAGGGCACGCCACACCAGGGGACACCACACCAGGGCACACCACACCAAGCCACACCACACCAGGGCACACCACACCAGGGCACACCACACCAGGGCACGCCACACCAGGGCACGCAACACCAGGCCACGCCACACCAGGGCACACCACACCAGGGCACGCCACACCAGGCCACACCACACCAGGGCACACCACACCAGGGCACACCACACCAGGCCACACCACACCAGGGGCACCACACCAGGGGCACACCACACCAAGCCACACCACACCAGGGCACACCACACCAGGGCACACCACACCAGGGCACGCCACACCAGGGCACACCACACCAGGGCACGCCACACCAGGCCACACCACACCAGGGCACACCACACCAGGGCACACCACACCAAGCCACACCACACCAGGGCACACCACACCAGGGCACACCACACCAGGGCACGCCACACCAGGCCACACCACACCAGGGCACACCACACCAGGGCACACCACACCAAGCCACACCACACCAGGGCACACCACACCAGGGCACGCCACACCAGGGCACACCACACCAGGGCACGCCACACCAGGCCACACCAAGCCACACCACACCAGGGCACGCCACGCCAGGGGACACCACACCAGGGCACGCCACACCTAGCCACACCAAGGTATGGCCTGGCTATCTTGGTGTTCTGAAAGTCATCTTGGGCAAAACAACTGTCTGCCTTCTATATACATAAACTTTTTTGTTGCTACAAGTTTCCTCGTGATAGGTAGTGCTGCACTGACTAGCTCACTCCCTTGTCATCGAGACGTCTACACTACTCCCGCCACTGCTACCACGTACGCTACCACTACTCCAACTGCATGTCTGTGAGTAGTCACCTAAGTGTATCTGACCTATGGTATGATCATTGGCTTCGTCTGTGCTCGTAATGTCCGGACTGAAAAATACAGTCCCCAGTTCGATTCACGGGAAGTATGACATTTACTGACACGAGTGTAATGAGATGTACTCCCGGTACTTCTTGCATAACCTCCCCCTCCCCCCCTCCCCCCCCCCTAACCTACCCCCCCCCCCCCTGCCCCTGACAACTTGCTGTAAGAGTGCAGGTGAAGCTATGACTAACCTGTGGCTGTAACAGTGCAGGTGAAGCTGTGACTAACCTGTGGCTGTAACAGTGCAGGTGAAGCTGTGACTAACCTGTGGTTGTAACAGTGCAGGTGAAGCTGTGACTAACCTGTGGATGTAACAGTGCAGGTGAAGCTGTGACTAACCTGTGGCTGTAACAGTGCAGGTGAAGCTGTGACTAACCTGTGGCTGTAACAGTGCGAGTGAAGCTGTGACTAACCTGTGGCTGTAACAGTGCAGGTGAAGCTGTGACTAACCTGTGACTGTAACAGTGCAGGTGAAGCTGTGACTAACCTGTGACTGTAACAGTGCAGGTGAAGCTGTGACTAACCTGTGGCTGTAACAGTGCAGGTGAAGCTGTGACTAACCTGTGACTGTAACAGTGCAGGTGAAGCTGTGACTAACCTTTGGCTGTAATAGAACACTTGAAGCCGCGAGAAGTCAGCATGAAGTTAGAAGTAAATGTAGCAGTGATGGTTCTTCCGTTGGATCTCAAAACAAAATGCTGTCTGGTTCCGCTTATCCTGAGGATGAGAACAATCAGTTATGCTGGACTGAGAAGAAGAACAGTTAGTTGTTATACACTAAGGACAAGAACAGTTAGTATTGCCACTGATGTGTTGGCTAATTAGGTGATTTCTGGTTAAACTCACTGTTACTTAGCAGTAAAGAAAGGATAATAGGATTATACAAGTAAAGATTTGCTAAAGCCAGTAAAGTCACTAATTGCAATCTCTCTCTTTCATATGCATAATACATATTGTTACCACTGAAGAATCAGGATCTTGCTAAGCTGATAAATATATTACTTTGACACAAACATAGTTAAATAAAAAAATAATAATAAGTACAGACAATGTACTTAGTTTAGCGTTTAACATTTGGTGAAAGAAAATATCGTTTAATATTTTGTAAATCAAATCAGCACACAAGTAAATATTTTTCATAAGTGCACTCGTGTGTAAAAGATCTTTTACGTCGTCGTCACAGTAAATGGAAGCAAATTATTATTTGAAGCAAATTGTTGGTAATATCGTCCTCCCCTGCATGGACTGCAAGATGGCTTCTTGTGTTAATATTCAATAATGTTATTTGATTAGTTTAATTAGTAATTAATTTGTTGTTTAATAACTGATCTGATTTTTTTCCGACACAAGCACTGCAAAAATTATTGCCTGAGTCACAACGGTAGAGAGAGAGAGAGAGACAGAGAGAGAGAGAGAGAGAGAGAGAGAGAGAGAGAGAGAGAGAGAGAGAGAGAGAGAGAGAGAGAGAGAGAGAGAGAGAGAGAGAGAGAGAGAGAGAGAGAGAGAGAGAGAGAGAGAGAGAGAGAGAGAGAGAGAGAGAGAGAGAGAGAGAGAGAGAAGAGAGAGAGAGAGAGAGAGCAAGAGAGAGAGAGAGCGAGAGAGAAGAGAGAGAGAGAGAGAGAGTCAGACAGAACCTGAGGGAAGGAGAAAATATCTATACAAGTTATTCAATAGTAGACATAAGGTATATTCCTTCACGTTCGCCCACCGACCTGGAGACCTGACGATCTACACGGAAGATTAAGTGGTCTCCCCAGGCAAGCATGATCAAAGGACAGCGCACAGTCAAGGTAACATCACGGTTGACAGGCTGTTAAAGACAATAGTTATTGTAACGCAGCTCGTTTATTGAATAGGTATTTTTAAAGACAAAGTTACTCCTTTTTTTTTGAGGGATGGGAAGGGAAGAATCTGAAACTTTGTCACCTGCTCTAATAACTTTTATTGTTAACTATTGGATAATAGTTGCGTCTGGAAAAATACATAGTGTTAATCTATTCATTGTGAGAAGTGTTAAATGTTGATCCTACAGCACATTTCTAATTTCCCTTCATGTGACAAGTTTCTAATTTATGGGGTTAACTTTGTCATCCTACAGTGGAGGCGTTCTAGTGAATTTATATCCATAATATATCATCAGAGCTACAACGAAAATTGAAATGTTCTCTGTTATTATTACACAAAGCTTTCTTCGTACGTCTCAACTGAGATTTATAGCCATGTAAAAAGCGTCTAACTTATTAAACATAATACGTGTTTAAGAAAAGCAGCGGCCAAGAACCATCTTTAAGAATAATGAACGGTGATTTACATACCGTAAAGTGCCAAACACAAGTCTTCCGGTTTGGATACTTAAAAGGATAGGACGGAGTGGAGAAGAAAGCACGTTGTCCTGGGGAGAAGACTCTTCCGTAGCCACACACAACTGTAAAATATAATCCGGAATTAACTTTGAATGAGAGAATGTTGTATGTACAGGTGTTGCTTTTGCCACCTGTAAATACAACATAACCATCAACTTCAATTTAATTTATTATACAAATTAAAGTATGAAATGTATAGAATGACTTGTCTAACCTTCATACAAAAATGTATAAAGTGAAATCATTCAAAGAAGGCCAAAAAATATATATTCCCGCCA